GGGTGAGTGAACTGGGAACGAATTTTCCAGAGTACATGTAAGACAAAAATAGCCTGTAAGGAGTTCTGTAGCTCATCTGCTTTGAATTTACGTTAGTGCAAAGGGTTACTTTTCATCCTTGAAGCAGGATGAAAATCGCTCTTGAACTTATGCAACAGGTAAGGTTCAGTGTGCATACGAGCCAAGTGGCCCATCAGGCCGGGTCTTGTAGCATGAAGGGACTAGGAGTATTTCTACTCCCCCCCTGGATGATCCTAGTCCATGGCAGGGTTACCCCCAGCATTAAGTTCGCCGGTACTCATTTAAACACATGGGTGGAGAGAGGCACCGTGAGAGTAAAGTGTCTTGCCCAAGAACACAACGCAATGTCCCCAGCCAGAATATTCGAAGCTCGGAATGAGGCCACCGCGCCTTCCACACTACAGTACTTATTAAGAACAGAATTAATTTTCTCTCGGTTTCGTTTTAGGAGAAACAACACCTCATAAGTGAACAGAACGCGAAGATCGCCGAGCTTCGACAAGAAGTGAAGCAGTTGAAAGAAAGCAGAAACGAAGAGACTGCAACATCTGAGGCCGTGTTAGAGTTGCAGGCCCATTTGAATGACGCTAATGAGGAAGTCACCGAGCTGAAACAGATGCTCGAAGAGGCTGGAGAGGCCTTCACCGAGAAAGAAGCTGAAATTAGTAAACTGAGAGCAACCCTTGACGATTAGGAAGCTTGTATGAAAAAGCAGGTGGGTTTTACTTTAACAGGTTAGAAATGAAAAGCTCTTTTTAGTTTGTTGTGTATTTAAGTTCTAAGGGCAAATACCTTATCATATGAAATTTTCGCGCCACGTTAATTTCGCGAATTTCGCTTTTTAAAAAAAAATCGCGAAATTAAAGTGACGCGAACAATAAGTGTCGCGAACATAACATGACGCAAAAATTAAGTGACTTACATTATGTTACTGTTAGTTGACATATAGTTCCGCCGTTGTGTTTTTGTTAATTTTGACGTTATTGTACCTGATAACGTCGGCTTACGTTGATAACGTCGGTTTACTAAATTCAAGGACATGTTGAAGTAACATTGCCAAGGAAATAAATTTTGTGTTACTCAAACACGCGAAGTTAGACTGATGCAAAATACACAATTTTCGCAAAATCGCGAAATTTAAGTGCCGCAGAATGTGCGCACCTCAAAATCGCAAAATAAACTTGTCGCGAAAATTTCATGTAATAAGGTACGAGACCTTTCTGTTTCGTCAGATTTCGACCAAGTTTTCTGTCATGTATTCATTCGTTTTTAAAATATATTCAATTTGCAATAAAATTCACCAAGCAACTGACAAAGCATGCACGAGACAAGTCACACGGGAAATTGTTCTGTGTAAGAGCGCCTTAATTTGGTTATTTCTCAGTTTGCGAGGAGGGTATATTGGTGAGTGACTCACAAACAATACACCCTGTTTTGAAATTTTGTTTTCCAATAGTCTCAATACACTCAATTGAGCTGGCGACTAGGAGAAGACACTTCGATGGCAAGCTAGCCATTGATTGGTTAAGTTGACAAAGGGCGCTGTTCTGATTCGCTACAAAGTCAACCAATCAAGTTGTAGCAAACATTAAATGACGTAGCTCGACAGCGAGTAGTGTCGTCTTTCTGATTGGCTGACGCTCTGTTTCAAATTTTCGCGCGCAAATAACAACCAATCCCAAAAGAAAGCTACCTCATGACATCGGTGTTGAGAGTTTATAGTTCGAACCTCAGACTTCTTTCGAGCGGGAAAGAATTAAGCGTGTGAGGAGAAATGAACGTTAGCTAATGCATTCAAATTCTGTGCAATTTTGAAGCTATTATTTTCCACCTAATGCAGGACGCTGCCTTGAAGCACCTAACTGCTGAACTAGAGAAGGTTAAAGCAACGCCCAAAGTGGAAACCGATGTCGATGAGCTGTCACGGACGAAAGGAGCTCTTGGAGCAACCATGGCGAAACTGGTGGACGCGGAGAAGCAATTAGAAACAAGAGACTCCATGATGAAAGAGTTAGTGAGGACTATGGAGGAAACCAGAGAAGAGTTGGCACGGGAGAGAAGTTACGTCGCTCAGGCGTTTGACAATGATGAAGAAATGATCAGAATCAAAGAATAACTGCAGAAAGCCGAAACGCAAACTAAGGAGTTAGAGGAACACCTAGCCGATAAAGATGAGGCCATTTCGTCTTTGAAGAAGGTTATAGAAGACGCAAAGGCGACGAGGCTAGAGAAAAATTCCCAAGCTGAAGAGAAGGAGAAAACCATTGCTGAAAAGGTTACTGGGATAGCTGCTTTAGCCGAGCAACTTAATGAAGTTAAAGAGGAATTGCACTGCACGAAAGTTGAATTGGTTAAGGTAAAAGTCGATAGCAGCGGAAAAGATTCACAACTTGACAAGCTAAGGAAAGAGTTTAATGACAAGGTGTTGGAGTTAGAGGACTCTTCAAGAAAAATATCCGACGCGGTTGCTGCGTTGNGCTAGAGAAAAATTCCCAAGCTGAAGAGAAGGAGAAAACTATTGCTGAAAAGGTTACTGAGATAGCTGCTTTAGCCGAGCAACTAAATGAAGTTAAAGAGGAATTGCACTGCACGAAAACTGAATTGGTTAAGATAAAAGTCGATAGCAGCGGAAAAGATTCACAACTTGACAAGCTAAGGAAAGAGTTTAATGACAAGGTGTTGGAGTTAGAGGACTCTTCAAGAAAAATATCCGACGCGGTTGCTGCGTTGGAAGACATGAAAAAGCAAGGTTTGGAAAAGGAGGCTGAACTGAACAATTTTAGGGAAGCGAATTCAGAAACGGCAACCGAACTTGAAAGTTTAAAGAAAGCTCTTGAAGAAAAGAACGAGGCTTTGGCGAGGGCAAAATGCGAAGCTAATTCAACTCAAGGCACTGAAGAATTTGATAAAGGGAAGGCTGACGAAATGACTAAGCAAGCAAATAGAATAAAAGACATGGAAGCAGAAATTAAAGAAAAAGCTCTTGAACTGGAAAATGCCAAAAGCGAAAGTGCGATACAGATAAGTGAGTTGGAAACAGAACTGACAGAGTGTAAAAAAGAGATAGAAAAGCTTCAGGCTGGAGATGCTTTGACGGAAATAGAACAGCAACTAGAAGAATCCACGAAAGCTCTGGACAAGAAAAACAGTCAAGTTATTGCCAGAAATAATACCATTAAAAGACTCGAGATGTCACTGGCTGAGAAAGAAAGGCTCTTGTCCGACATGGAAAAGCTGCCAAAGGAGCCAAATTTAAGAGCTAAAGAAGAGCTGAAGACCTTGCGAAGGCGTCTTGTGCAAGCGGATAAAGAAAAAGAGGAAAGCAGAGAGCTCTTGGCTAAAAAAGAGGAAAAACTCGAAGAAGCCAAGCAAGAGCTCGAGAAGCTTAAAAACGAACGTGACGAGAAATCAGCCAAGTTCTTGAGAGAACTACAAGACACAAGGACTGAACTTGCCGACGCCAAAGAAGACACAAAGAAGAAGCAAGAGCAAATTCAGTCTTTGAAAGAAAAATTGGATTCTCAGAGTCTGAAGAACGCTTGTTTGCAGACACAGTTGGAGAACGAGAAGAGAGGATTGTTAGAAAAAGAAAAAGCCTTCCAAGAAGCGAGAGAAGAATTGAACTGTGCGAAGAGTTCGTCCGCCACCGAACTCGATGAAGCGAGAATGCGGCTGGCGTCGACTGAAGAAAAATTACAAGAGTTGGAAGATGAAGTTTTCACGGCTAACGAAACAACTTCTCGAATTCAAGATGAAATGCGAAAATATCAGAACGAAGTAGTACCAGCCCTGGAAAACAAAGTGAAAGCTCTCGAGGAAGAACTTCTTCGCAACGGCGAAAGGGTCAAGGTAAGCTTTTTACGTTATTTTGGTAAAAGAACTGGATGGTCCTGGCCGTTCTTCTCGCCTACGTCACCGACATGAATTGACCGCGGAAACCTGGTAGAAAAGGCCGCACAGGAACTAAGCAAAGGTGTTTCTTAAGGCCGAGTAATAATTATACGGGCAATATTTTCTACCAACTTGTCGCTCAACAAAGTTACGTTGAAAAGTGTTGTTGCTCTTATGACCAGCCTGTGTTGCAAGTTGCGGTAACGTATTCCGGGAAGTAGACCAAATTAAGCTGAATTTTGTGCAACATTTTGCAACAACTTACAAAACAGTAATAATATGCGCAACAACGCTGTTCAAATTGCAGTGTACGGTGAAACTAAATTTTCTTCCCACATTTACTGTAAAATAAACCTGCATTCAGCGGACACCTGTTAAGCGGACGCGGACGCCAATATTAAGCCATTTTGTTGCACAAAACCTGCAATAAGCGGACACTTCAAGGGCTCTTTACTCCTAAAAGCTCAACTCGGACTCCTTTAACATTAAGTAGATTATTCCAGATTGATACATTGACCGACTGGACATTGTGCTATGAGCAGTCTTTGATCTTACACCGTATTACACTGTGTTACAAAAGGGATAATAATTGACTATTATTGCACAATTTATTAGAACCTGTTTAGAGCGGACACCCTGTATTAAGCGGACACAGTAGTAAGTGTCCCAAGGGTGTCCGCTTAGTACAGGTTTCACTCTATTAGATTGTTGGACGACAAGTGAAGTTGCAAGGAAAATGTTGTTTGCGTTGCTTAACATTAAGTAGAGGCTTGACTGTACTCATGGAATTACTGCAGATTAATATAAAGAAACATTTTGGCAGTAACAGGGTTTTTGAAAGGTGTGGTCGGCAGGCTGTATTTTTGTTATATTGACAACTCTTTTAATGTTTAATGTTTTAGCTAGTGAATGGCTAGACCAACTTAGCGGTTCGCAAAAGCTGTCAGTAGTGAAAACGTATTTTTATAATATTTGTGTTTTTAGGACGCTGAAGAGAAGCTGGAGCAGGAGTCAAGTGAAGCGCGCTCTCGATTGGAGAAAAGAAACGAGGAAATCGAACAGAAGGTCAAGGAAGTCAACGAGCTCAGGGAAGCCATAAAAACCTTAGATCAAGAAAAGTTCCAAGAACTGGATAAGGTATGCCTTTGTTTATAAAACTATTACTGTCATTATTCCAGCCAATGGAATTTCGGAAGGTTTTTTACTACTCTGAAGAATTTATATTAAACAATTAGATTATGAGCTCGAGATTTATATGGCGCGATAGTTAACGATGGTGCAGTTCGAGTCAACTATCACGCGCGAACTTCGTAATTGTTTTAGTATAAATCTACCAGTGTAGTCGTTCAAAGCTTTATCTATTAAAATTTTCGTCACAGACACTTGGAAAACGTAAAGAAACGGCCGCCACTTTCTCAACAACCGCACATTGCAAGGCTACTCACTATGTACAACAAAGTAGATAGTGAGTAGCGTAGCCATTAATCAGTAACTGAACGACATTCGTGATAGAACGTCAGTAAACTTTTACTAAATAATTTTAAACTGTGTCGTCACCTCAATGGGTTCTTGGCGGTTTGTTGGGTCTCGGTGATCTCGGTATTAAAGTCAATGTACTTTTTATCATAGCTATTTCTGTTTCGTTCCCTTTTTTTCCAGGTGTGGCAGGAAATGATGTCTATGCAAAAGACCATCGAAGAAAGAAACAAAACGATTGACGAACAGGAACAGAAACTTCGCGAAGCGAGCTTAAAACAAGGCAAATCCGAAGAACTAAATCAGACAGTGACAGAGCAACTCAAAACAGAACAAGAGAAGTCCAAAGAGCAGATTAGGACTCTAACAGATCAACTCAAATCACTTCGTGAAGAAAAGAGTTCTTTGGAGGGAAGACTTCGTCTTGTCACGTCAGGTAGTTTATGAGTTGGCTCTGCTATACCACCCCCCATGTTTAAGCGTACATTCCCACTGAAATAGAGGGGTTTTTATGACACAAGGGGGAGGGGGGAGGGTAGGGTCGTTGGCACTTTGCTCCTTTGCCATCGCGTTTTTGACAGCTTACTTCCGTTTTCTACTTTTTTTAGGATAGTTGTTTGAGAGTTACAGGACACGCGATTACATTTACACACAGCTTAGAGGTACTTACATTTCTGAATCACATTTTGTCTCTTTAGATGCTGGAAAAGACAAAGAAGTCATTGCTAACCTACAAAAGGTTTTAGAGGAGCAGGATCGCACCTTGACAGAGCAAGGCCAAGCACTGGATGAGCGGCAAAACGAAATAGAAACTCTCACTACAGAGCTGCAAGTCTGGCAAGAAAAGTGTGCTTTGACAACCAGAGAACTGGAGAAAAAGAAAGAGGAGATTTCTGGTGTCAAAAAGCAAGCTTTCGTCGCCAGTGATGAAAAAAAGAGGCTGGAAAGTCAAATGAAGGACATGTCCAGCAAACAAGAATCCACCGAGCAAAATGCGAACGTGCGACTAATGCAAATGGAAGAAGAAATACGAAAGATGAAGCAGGATCGTTCTTGTCTTGAAGCGCAGTTGCGAAAGAGGGACGAGGAAATACGCAAAGCCCACGATTCAAGAGAAAACATCGTGAAAACCATGCACGAAGCGTTTGAAGTCGCCAAGGCTAACAAGGCTGAATACGAAATCAAACTGGCCACAGTCAGGGAGCAATGTCGACAAGACCTGAAGCGGGAGATGGATGAGGAGCTCCGGAGAACGAAACGCGACTTCCAGCGGCAGCTGAATGACAAAGACAAGAGTCTAGAAGAAATCAAAAACGAGAAAGAGTCGGTGGAAAAGGCGCTGGCTGCTGAGAGATCAGAAGCATCCAAGACTGATTCCTCTGCTTCGGTAAAACGAAACTATTATAATGATGTAAATTTTTATGTCGTTGAACGTCACTTAGGAAAGGTGTCCATTGATTATAATACAGCGAAACCTCTCCTTTGGGATACAGGGGATGCTTACCAGTTAGCAAAACAATTCGGATATTTAGGTTGAAAGTCAAATGGAACAATAATTTTCCGGAAAATCCGTTCGGAAATTATAAAGTACCTCCAAAAGTAGTCCTCTTTTTCCGTTCGAAACGGAACGGCGGAACTTTCCTTACCACTTGCTTAACTTTCCAGTTTGCAGTCTTGCATCAGCGCTTAAATTGAGTCAACCTAGTTTTAGCTAGTCCGTGTTCCGAAGTAATAATTCACTTTCGCATTTGTTGTGTTTAGGAACCTGAAGCGACAGGCAGCA